AGAAAATGAATATTTATAGAAATGTATCATATTAGAAGACGGGAGTGGGGATAGGGTGGGAGGCTGGGGGACTGGTGTGTGGATGAGAGAGGAGGGGAGGGAGAGGGAGCTGGGAAAGACATGTGAAGCAAGCTTGTTTCTAATTTTAAAAAATGTAATAAATAATAATAATAAAAAGAAGATAAAATGATACAACTTCCTCCTTTCAAATATTTTCTATTTTGTACAACAATATTGCTTTAAAGTGTCATGATGAATAAAACCATTTCAAGTTATACTCTGATATATTGTTATGTTAGAAATTACCTGCTTTAAAAACATCAGTTGATAGTGTCAACAAACAGTAAGAATACAAGCATGCTAACAGTAACTGTGGCTTACATTTGTTTCCACCCCCTTGTGTTTAAAGAACTTTCAGAAGCTTTCTGAACTGAATAAATGGATTATGAAAATGGATCAACTGTGACAGAATTTATTTTAGTGGGATTTTCTGGAGACTGGCAAATTCAAACTTTCTTCTTTGTAACATTTTCTTTGATCTATGGTGCAACTGTGGTGGGCAACATTCTTATCGTAGTCACAGTGGCAGCTAATTCTACCCTCCGTTCTCCCATGTACTTTCTTCTCGGGAACCTCTCCTTTCTGGACATGTGTCTTTCTACTGTCACAACTCCCAAGATGATCAGAGACTTGCTTGCAGAACACAGGAGCATCTCTGCATGGGGCTGCATGGTTCAGATGTTCTTCATGCACTTCTTTGGGGGTGCTGAAATGACACTTTTGATAGTCATGGCCTTTGATAGATATGTGGCCATTTGCAAACCCTTGCACTACAGGATCATCATGAGTCACAGGTTGCTGAATACCTTTGTGATACTTTCCTGGACAATTGGCTTCATACACACCATGAGCCAGATGGTGCTGACAGTGAATTTGCCTTTCTGTGGCCACAATATCATAAATAACATATTTTGTGATCTCCCCCTGGTAATCAAGCTTGCTTGTATTGAAACAAACACTCTGGAGTTATTTGTCATTGCTGACAGTGGGCTGCTGTCTTTTATCTGTTTCATCCTCTTGCTTGTTTCTTACACTGTCATTCTGGTCACCGTAAAGCACAAATCACCTGGCAGGCTTTCCAAGGCTCTGTCCACATTGTCTGCCCACATAATCGTGGTCACTCTGTTCTTTGGACCCTGTATCTTCATCTATGCCTGGCCATTTAGTAGGTTTGCGAGCAATAAAGTGCTTGCTGTATTTTATACTGTTATCACTCCCTTACTGAATCCTATTATTTACACACTGAGAAATCAGGAAATGAAAAAAGCTATGAGAAAACTATGGATTAAACAAGGTAGCTTTGTGTAGAACATATAGACCGAGCAGTACATTGTTACCACAGCCTTTGAATAGCATGACTAGTTCAGTTTAAGACTATTGATACTGTATTGTTTGACTTTTATGTTTGTATCACCCACTAATAAAGAGAAATTTATACCAATGCATTACTGTTTCACTAATAGGGATGGTTTAATGTTATTTTTCAACATTTTTTATTTTGAATATTTTCCAGTAATATACACTTCCTCTGTTTTGAATTTTTAAATCTAAAAAATCTTTCCTTAAATCAGCATATATAATAAAATCATGGAATATAAAACCTGGCACTGAATATGACACCATTCATATATTTATCAATGCATGTAGAACTGACCCCCAGTTCTAATGGTGGTAGCCCAGTGTCAGGCCTAGTAGTAGGAGCCATTGGTTATTCAAACTTTGGACAACAATGGCCAGTCCCAGGTTGGATTCAATATCTACAGAGACAGAACTCTCTAGATTATCAAAGTCTCGAGCCTAGCTTGAGATAAACTATAGGGTGTTTTGTGTTTCCATTGACTTAGTGGCTGCACATGAACTACCATTGGTGGTCCCTTGGCCCCAGAGTTGTTGCCCCACTGCTAAGGCTACAGCCTGATGGAATTTCTGGTCCTGCCAGCAGAGGCTCTGTGACTGCTGCCAAATGTAGTTTTTAACTATTTCTCTATCTTTATATTTACCAATAAATACTCAGGAGTCAGATGTTGGGGTGAAAATCTGCTAGCTCAGAGAAGCTGAGACTCACCGGCTAATCTTCTTTTTTGGCCAGAGGTTCAGCAAGAGACCAGTGCTCCAGCCATACCAAACAGAAAAAAAAAGATGCCAAACACTAAGTCCCTCCCTACTCCTTCCTTTGCATCTCTCTATTCATCTTCTTGGCTCTTCCATACTCTCTATGACTAATTCCTGTCATCTAGTTTCTGGCTCCACCCCTGACCCAAGGTTGTTTTATTCACAGCCTTGGGTTTCATAATGCAATCAAATATCCCACCACAGGGAAAAACAAGAAAAGAGGGCTTCTATCCTTTCCTAAGTTCCTGGATTCTGATCAATGTCCTAGGATCTGCCTCTCTCATAGACAAACCACTCTGACAGAGCATGAGCTCTGAGATATTTCAAGTACATTTTCCCACCGAAATGACCCAGTGCTAAATCGAGGAACTATATCAGGGCTATGAACAATTCTTCAGTCATTCCATGCAGGCCAAGACCCTGTGGTATCTACCAGAACAACCAGGTCACAAAGGTACAATATGAACTGTGTGATCATCTTAGTATGTTTCTGACTTAGCCCAAATGCAAGTGAATGGCTCTATACAGACATCACGTTACAAACACTACAACAGGAAGGAGGTCTCTCTTGGTTGATCCATTGTCTGTGATGTCACTGAAATCCTCCAGTATTAGAATAATCCAATAGAAACATGAGGAAAGGTGGTTCTAAATTTCAAATCTTTCTCTGGAGCCAGAGTTCCCTCACTGCCAGGGCCTGTCACTCTGGCCGAGTAGGACCATGACTGTTGTTTATTTGATTGTGCATTCAATGGGTCCCTGTCTTGGCAGTTCTGCAGCTCGGTGGAAATGATCAAGTGTCCCTGACTTATGCATAACTGTTACCTACAATCTGGTTCCAGTTGAAGCTGGGAAGCCGATGGAGGGACAGAGATGCGAGGTGTCCAATGGGAGCATAAAGAGTCCATTGCATGGAAACAATCTTTGTGAACTTTAAGTGAACTATTTTTGGGGTCCTGATAGTTACTGAAGGGCTAGGGTCCTTTCTAGTGTCCTAGTGGATTCTACAGATGGAAACAACTACCCCACGATTTTTATAAGAAAGCAGAGTACTCTTCTCTGCAGTCTCTAGGATGAGATTTTCTCCTCTCACCCCTAGGATAGACTTGCTGCAGCGTAAATGTCTGACACTTATCAAGACAATGAGTGAAAGGAGAGACAAAAGAGAGAGGTGTGTGAACCCCAAGTTAAACAAATATCTGGAACACACACTCAAGAAACCAGTGTTGTGTAGGGGGCAGGTTCTGCTGTATTGATGAAACATGGGATCAATTATTGCAATTTCCTATGTGCCAAAGTAACAGGGCTACAACATTGTGGCTCATTTGGAATGCAACACAGCTCATCCAGAAATCCTTTGGGTGCTTCTAACTGAACAAGTGTAAGGTGGATCCACACATTTCTAAAGTGAGCAGACAATAACCTCATATGTAAATGATAAGTAACGCAGGAACAGCGTGTCTAATTTATTTCCAGGTAATGTGGGAAAACAGGTCACAGATTATCTTTAGAAAGATAACCCTAGTGTAGAAGTGTGGGAGTTAACAGCCTATGCTGAGCGTCTACACTGGCCAGTCACACTCCCTTCTTCATTTCTGGATTTTACATTCTAAGGCTTTGAGGTCTCATGTATGTTCAAGTCACACCCAGTGTCTCAGTTCTTTAGACTGGGTGATTGAAGCTGTTAATATTTAAAGCTGTTATTGAAGGGTCTTGTTTTATTACAATTATTGTAATGTTGATTTTGGCATTGTGTTTTGTTTACTCAGCCCTTTAATAATTACGGTTTTGCATTATTTGTTTGCAGTCTCTATCCCATATTCATTATTCATTTTAGCCTGAAATAACACTTTAGTATTTTCACAAGGTTTGAGTTGTTGAATATAAATTTTTTAGGCTACTTATATTGTGAAAAGTTTTTCTTTTTCAATAATGGCAGATAGTTTCACTGTTTAGTCTAGATAAGAGGTTGTTTTGTTTTAGGGCTTAGAATGTGTTGCTCCAGGCTCTTCTGTATTGCAAAGTTTCTTTGGGGACACCAGTTGTTATACTGATGGGTTTCCCCTTATATATGACTTGTGCTTTTGTAATTACAGCTTTCAATACATTTTCTTTGTTATGTATAGAGTTTTAGTTGTAATATACTATGAGTCATTTCTTTTCTAATCTTACCTATTTTGGTGTTCTGTGTGATAACTGTATTTGCATGTGTGTATCTTAGCTTTGAGATGTTTTCTTATATGATCTTGTTGAAAATCAGGCTTGTGTCATTGATTTGGTATTCTTCTACTTCATCTATGCCTGTAATTCAAAGGTGAAGGTGGAGGTTTCTGTATTGCCTGGCCCCACAGTCCCTTTTCCCCAAATGAACACACAGACTCCATATTAGTTGCAAAATTGTTAGTCAATGGTTAGGGCTTTTTTACTGGCTAACTCTCTCTTAATTATTAACCCATTTCAATTAACCTAAGTATTTCCACATGGTCTTATCTTATCGGCGAAGGGGGGCTGGACCTGTTATTTCTTCCTCGTTGCACGGCCTCTCTCTCCCAGATTCTCCCTCCTTCCTCTCCCCAGCCTTCTTCTTGTCTGCTTGTCCTGCCTATCTTCCTGCAGGACTAATGGCCAAACAGTGTTTTATTCATCAACCAATAAGAGAAACATATATACAGAAGAACATCCCCCATTACAAAGCTTTTACTTTTTTCGTCATATTCCACATTTCCTATATGTTCCTTTCCTTTGTTTAAATTTTTTTATGTTCCTTGATTATTTGTTCTAGATCATTTATTTTTATCTTGAGATCTAATATTGTATCTTTGGCTTTATTTGTTCTATTTGTAAGATTTTCTTTTGAGATTTCTAGTTGAGCTATTAGGATTTTAAATCCTATCTTCATTTCAAATAGAGTTCTATTCAGTGTTTATGTCTCCATTGAACTCCACTCCCAAACCTTGGATTGTCTTCAATTATTTCCATCGGCCATGTTTCCTTGGACATCACTCAGACATTAATTCTTAAGATTTTTCTCCTTGATTTCATTAAGATGTTTCGTTGTGTTTTGTTTAAACTCCTTGAACAATTATTTGATGAAGTTTTTGATTGATACAGGTAATTACCCAGGATGGGGCCAAAATCTGAACAGCAATAAGTCCACAGATCCAGAGGTCTGCAACCCAGAAGCTGTGGACCCAGGGTTGTAACGGTGTCTAATCCAAGGTAAAACTCACATGGATGAAAGGAAGCCCATAAGCTGTAGTGTTAGAAGCAGTGGAACACAGAGGGAACTCAGGCTATCTGGACATATGTACTTGGACTTTTTTGAATTGCCAATTCCCAAATAATGACACAGAGACGTCTTATTAATTTCGAAAGCTTGGCCTTAGCTTAGGTTTGTTCCAAAACTAGCTCTCACAACTTAAATAAACACATTTGTATATTGATCTATGTTCTGCCATGTGGCTTATTACCTCTCTTCCATGTTGTACATCAGACTTCCCAGTGTCCCACTGGTGAATTCACCACCTCTCAGATTCTTCCCAGAGTTATCATCTCTGCTCAGAAGTCCTAACTATTGGCCATTCCTCTCTCCAGTCCAAAATATTGCTTTTTGTAATTTTTTATGTTTTGCCTGATGAATAAAATTTAATTAGGTTAGTTATAGGATGGAAAATGTTTTAGATATTTATTAGCCATTTTTTCTTCCTTTAGAATTCTCTGTTCAGTTCCAAGCCTACTTTTGAATGACTTGTTTATTTGTTTGACTATCTCTTCTTAGAGCTCATTATATACACTTAATATTAATCCTCTATCAGACACATAGCTGACAAAGATTCTCTCTTATTGTGTGGGTTATGGGTTTTCTCTGCACTCTATTATAGCTATACAGAAGTATTTTAGCTTCATGAGGCCCAACTTGTAAATATTGGCATCAATATTTTGGTCAAGTGTGGTCTTGCTCACAAAGTACCTTTCTACACATGTATCGTGTAGGCACTGCCTGAGTTCTTCCAGCAGCTTCAGTGTTTCAGGGTCCATATTGAGGTCTTTGGTCTATTTTCAACTAGTTTTATGCAATGTAATGCATACATGTCGAATTTCATTCTTCCACATTTTGCAAACCCAGTTTCACCATACCATTTGTTGAAGATACTGCCTTTTCTTCAGTATCTGCTTTTGGAATCTCTAATATCAGATTTCTGCAGTTTGCTTATTCATGTTTGGGTCTTCAATTTTTTTCTATTCATCTTCTTTATGCATTTAAAATCATTTGATGAAGTTTTTGAGATTTAAAAAAATTCTTTGTCTCGGGATTTATCTGGGTAATTCTTATAGAACTGTTCTATTGAGTTGCTAGATTTGGAGAGGGCATTCTGTGTTGATCTTTCATATTGCTTATATTTGTGTGATGAGACTTGAGCT